TAAATATATATATATATATATATATATATATATATATATAATTACACAAATCAAATTGATATTAATTTGATACAAAATATTGTACTATCCTATAAATCAACTTAATTTACTCTTTGTAAAATGATTTCATTTCTATTTTTTTTATTCAACTAACAACCTAATCCTCTAAATTTAAATGAAACTATCCTAATGAGGTGCACTATCCAACTAACCTAGCATGTGCCATTGCCTTCATAATAATATATATGTTAAGATGATTAAGTTAATATTTGTTCATTAATGTTTCGTTCGGAACAACATTCTTACTGTTTCTTAAAATAATTTGTTAGTACAAAAATTAAAAGATGCTTTAAGAAGCAGTAAGTAAACGGTCCCAATCAAAGCCTAAGTTAATATTTGCTTGTAATCTCTACATAATAATATGTTAGGCTGATAAAATGTTTTTTTTGCGTACGTGTCTATACATAAATAAATATTTATTTACTTAATTTTTTATTTATTTATAGCACTATCATTACAACAATATTTGATTCCCTAATTAATTGATAAGAAAGTCATTGCTTAACCACCATAGCAATGGAAGCTTGACAAAGTAATATATGTAGATAGGGGAATCTTGAATATTTCATGTAAGAAATTATTATTTAGCCAGGCAGGCCTTAGAAGTTTGACAAGGATATTACTACTTAGCTGTATTTTTATTCTCTCAATAGTCAGTTCAAGAGAAATTTAATGAAACATACAAGCAAAGTCAACTTTTTATCTTATAAATTTTTTTTTTCATGATTAACTTCTTGTTCATAATTGTATGTAAAACTATTGCAAATGACATATATATATAGGCTTCATTTAGCACAGTTTTCTTACTGTTTTATGAAGTATTTTTTTTTTTTTAAATTTGCTTCATAAAACAGTAATAAAGTTATTCGAAATGAAGACTTAATAGGTTTTAGTACTCATAGAGAAATAAAAGAGAGTAAGGACAAGAATTGGTGGCCTTTGGAATTTTTATTAGGTTCGGTGTAAGGACGTAGAGGAACGTCCGGTCGGAGGAAAAATCCCGCCAAAAAACTCGGTATTTGCTCGGTATTGCTAGGTATTATTTGATAATAATACCGAGCAATACCAAACAATAACGACGAATACCATCACGTGAAGACCCAATGAAGACCAATACCGAGTTATACCGAGCAATACCGAGTTGTACCGAGTTTTTTCTAGGAAAAACTCGGTACACCTTTTTGTATAACTCGGTATTGCTCGGTATAACTCGATATAACTCGGTGTTGGGTCTTCACGTGATGGTATTCGTCGTTATTGTTTGGTATTGCTCGGTATTTGCTCGATTTTTCTTGTTTTTTGGCGCGATTTGGCCCCTCTACGTCCGGTCAGAGGACATAATAATTGTTCTTTGCATTGGGCTTGCATGGAGAATTGTATATTACGAACACACCATAAATTGATGCATAGTTTTGATTTATGACAATGTATTTGACCTTCGTCTTTGTGCTGCATCAAAACCCCGATATTAGATAGTTCTGCCCAGGCCAATTTAGGTTCGAATACTATTTATATTGTAAAGTTTTTTTTTTTCTTTTGTGATTGATTTAAATTGCAATTAGATGGTCATTTGGTGCTTTATTTAGACCATTTCAGGTATTCCATCATTGAAATTAATTTTTGAAGTAAAATCATGCATCAATTTATTCCTCATTTGTTTCATCTTATGTTGTTTCTTGATTCAAGCATATTGTCGGAAATCATCTTCTATCAAATAATCATTTTGTAATTCCATAAATACTATTTATTCATAGTAAACGAGCCTTTCTCTAACTCCCATAATTTTTTTTAATGATGATTAGGTCAATTAAGACAGACTCATACACAAACCGCATACACAAGATTCGAACTCGAGAACTCTTAGTTGGTACCCTAAGCTTCAAACTAACAGACAAAGTGAGTTTTGTAAACTCCCATAATTTAGCTCAAGTTTAAGTTAAGGGTAACTCAAACATAAAAGTAATTAATCTCATTTAAAAATATATATTTTTTTAATTAAAAATTGACCTAAAATCAAGCAATTCGTACTCAATTCAAATTCAAATAACTCTACCAATTGAAGATGTAGAAGAAAAATTTGAACCATTCAAAAAATGCTCTATAATTGTTTTTTTGGAACTTTATTGCTTAGATCTAGGGCTGCAAACGAACCGAGCCGAGCCGAGTATGTGAGTGTTCATGTTTGTGTTCATTTAATATCAACTAGTTCAAGTTTGGTTCATGTTTGTTCGAGCTTTATTGCTTGTGTTCATGTTTGGTACATTTAAATTAATGAGTGTTTATGTTCGGTTCATTTTCAGTTCATGTTCGTTCGTTTAGTGCTTATCGAGCTTGTTCGTGAACATATTTAACGAATTTTTTCTAACTATCAAACAAATACATTCATGAACATATCTATGAACAAACACATTTATAAGAAAAGCAATTATCTATGTAACAAAGACAATGATTATTTATATTTATTAATTATATATTCAAATATTAATTATTTTTATCGAGCTTCTTATCAAGCTTAATGTCGAGCTTGTTCACGAACTTCAAATGATGTTGTTCGAGAACATGAACACATTAGTGTTCAAGTTTGTTTATTTAAGAATCGAGTATTTAAAATATTGTTCAAGTTTATTTGTTTAATTAATTAAACGATCACAAATGAGCTTTAATTGAACCGAACAACGAGTAGCTCGTCGAACATTTGGTTCGCTTGCAGTAGGTCCATACTTTAAATTTTTTATTAAATATTTAAACAAATAAGAAATGAAAATGCGTTACATCTGCTCCCTACATGACTGCATATGTCCTTAAGGTGAGGGCAATTTAGAGAAATCGAAGCGTACGGCCAAATTAGATTAAATTTCAAAGAAAAAAAATGTTGGGAAAGAGCCGCCTCGTTCGAAGGGGAAGTCTACCTATACGAAGAAAACGGGCAGAGCGCCAATGGAAAAGTCAGATTTATTAGAAAATTTTATATTGTCCGTTTTTTCCTCTCTCCCCTCCTTCCAAAACCATCGAAAGGGCCTCTTCTCGTTCCGAAAGCTCCAATCTTTTCGTTTATCTCTCGCTTTGCTATTTCTTCTCACCTCGCTCTCGCGGTCGCGCCTCTTCTGCTTAGCGTTTATTCAGCTCGTGTTCTCCTACATCAAGGTATGAGAAGCTATACTCAGGCGTATTGCGAGATTGGTTTGAGTTATTTGGGAAGTTTGTGATCTGTGTTTTGTTTCTTGAGCTGCACTGGCTATTTTCGTGTGCGCTTTCCTATTTCGTCTCAACTTCTATCATCGGTGTCTCATTTTCTTCGCCAAAAGGAAATGAAAGCTTTAATTGAAAATCGAAGGTATTTAAAATGTTTCAATTTGGGCAGAATAACCTTTTCAAAGTGGTTCCTTTGTTCTGCCCAATTTCAGAGTTTTTGCCAAATTGTCGCTCTCTTAGCTTCCCTTATGGATCGCTTGTTTTCTTAATTTCGTTACCTTTTTTGGATATTAATTCGCTAAGAACTCATGTTTTCCTTTTTGATGGTCATTGGGTCGGTTTGTGAATCGCGAAGCTGACCACCTGATTGGGATTCACACGGTTTCGATCGCAGATAGGGCTGTCGGGCAATCATTTTTCTCCTGTGATTTATTGCTGTCGCTTCTTTCAACGAGCTATTTAGGGTTTTGCGTATCTTTCTTCTGTTTTTGGAATTTCTAGCTCATTTATGTTTTTATGTAAATCGGACAAACGGGTATTTGATCATGTAAGTTTTGGAAATTTTCGTAATGGGCTATGTTACTTTGAATGATATTTATATCCTGTATCACCTCAGTTGGAATTTGCTGCTGTAATTGATGCCGAGGTGGTAACTTTTGAACGAAATTGCCATGGATGCAAGGTTTCTCACTTATTTCTCCTTTGAAACTCTTAATGCAATTTTCTTGTTGCAGAACTGTTTCAAGATTGACGGGAAGCGGCATTTGAAGAGGAGAGATTCTTCTCCTCTACATTTTTCAGGCCCTTGAAATAAATACTCACATGCTGCCCAGTAGCAGGAGCAGAAGTCAGCCTAGGGCTGGTAGATCTCCTCTCTTTTCATTATTCCATGTTTTTATTGTGTATACTTATCACCCACTTATTTGTGACGATCCAATTTGGACTGCAATTTCCTTTAAAGATACAATTGTGTGCATATTAGTGTGAAAAACAACTTATCGTGTGGATTTTCTGTATGCGTTTGTTTGTTATTACTGATTTCGGAAGATGAATCCTCCTATTCTGGTACGTTCTTCATTTCTTATCCTCTATTTCAGGGATGGATTACTTGGACACGAGAAGGAAGCGGCATTTTGCCGGAAAAATTTTTACAGCTGCTTTTCTCACGGTTGTTTGCATATTCATTCTCAAGCATTCTCCTGGTTTCAGTGGCACAAGTGTGGTAAACATTCCAAGACAATGCGTTTGTTAATTCCGTTTAGATATTTTTTTTTGCAAAACTTTCCAAGTGCAATCTTAGATGCATTTGTTTTATAACGAATTATAGAAACATATTGCATTATGATATTATTTTATGTCTTGTAGTCCAACCGACGAATTCTTTTTAGGATCCTGCACAAAAAGTGTGGCATAGAGGAAGAGCTTGAGTCCTTGTTTAAACTTTGTAGTTTTCGAAGCTTCACTTCTTTAGATTGATCTAATTTTACTCTGAAGTTCTTCTAGCCTAGGCTTTAACAGGTGGGATTGGAACCCTTTGTAATACAACAACAACAAAAATAGCAACAACAACAACAAGCCTTTGTCCCACTACATGGGGTCGGTTACATGAATCCTTTTTCACCATTGTGTCTTGTTAAAAGTCAAATTTTCATTTAAATTTAATAAAGAAAGATCATTTCTAACAAAGGGATTGGAACCCTTTGTAATGTAATTAATAAATAATGTGATGGGATTTTTGGCAAGGCTGCTATTGTTTTCTATTTTAGGGATTTTGGAGAGTTGATCAATTTACCTTTACTATGTTGGTTGGGTGTTTTCATCAAATTTTTTTATCGTCATCTTTTCACTAGAGCCGCTTATATCTTCCTCTATTAGTTTTAGTATGTGTTTAAACATCTTATTTTTATTATAAATAAGAACGAAGATACAGATGAACATATAGTTTCTTGAATTATAGCTAGGTACTTAAAATGTAGAAGTGCCTTAGGAGAGTTATGTTATAAGATAATATTTTGGAGTCTTGGTTAATAACAAATTGAAATTTGTTTAGCTATGTTGTGTGGATTTCCATTGTACTTCTAGTGTTTATGGGCCACTGTAGAAGAGCTGAAACATCTTATATGGAGTTCCATTATACTTTTCTCTTTAAATAAATGCATCTTCATAAGTTTTATATTAACATCACTAGCATATGTTTTAGCAGTTTTTTACCTGCATCTAGATTGAATAGGTCATTATGTGTTTCTGATTTCTATGCATTTAATATTTATTGAAATATTGATTAATATTTTCAATTCTAAAATTTCCTCGTAAGTTTTTTTTTTGTGATATCCATTCATTGATAGGGATATCTTATTGTGTAGTTGTACCTACGTTTGATCCTCTTTAGCATGATATGTTTATCTTTATATCAAAGTGTAGCTTATTTTGATGAATGCATATGAATGTATCATTTTCTTCAGCGATCTTTAATTTTTTGCCTGCTTTGGCATTTTCAGTTCTCTCATCACGAGCAAGGGGTAACCCATGTCTTAGTAACTGGAGGAGCTGGCTATATTGGTTCGCATGCATCCCTTCGACTCTTGAAGGACTCATATCGAGTTACTATTGTGGTATGGTTTGATTATCCAAACGAAAGAGTTAAAATGCTATTGTAATGATTGATCTTGTGGTCATAATTCACTGTAGGATAATCTTTCTAGGGGAAACATTGGGGCTATTAAAATTCTTCAGGAGTTATTTCCAGAGCCAGGGAGGCTGCAATTTATCTTTGCTGATTTAGGCGATGCAAAAGTTGTATCCTTTTTTGAACTTTTTGAACTAACACTTTTTTTAAGCTCATGTGAATGGGATGTTCTTCCTTTACTGAATTCTTAGGTTGATCAAATATTTGCTCAAAATGCATTTGATGCAGTGATGCACTTTGCAGCAGTAGCTTATGTTGGTGAGAGTACTCTTGAACCTCTTAGGTACTCCCTCAAATTTTCTAATAGTCTAAATAAGTTGGCTTGAGAACATTCATATTTATGTTCCATCAAATAATTTTCATGAATGTTAGATTTTTCCTTTATGATCATACATCATCATCATCATCGTTGAATTCTAAAAAAAATTCACTTTGTGATGCAATGATAAGGATCCCTAAATCTACTCCCAATCATAGCCCATGTTGATGGGAATCTCATGCACTTGGTAATGCCTCTTATTATTCTATTTTTTTCATTTGTTCTTGTGGAGTGTTAATTAAACAAACTACATTTAGCATGTCCTTTGTGCAAATTCTAGTTATGTCATCGAACCCTTTTTATGCAGTCCTTTCACTTTGATTATATTAATCAACTTTATAAACTTTTACGCTCAGTTGTGTATGCCTAAACCACTTAAGGGGCTGTTTGGTATGCAGAATTAAGAGTGTAAAGTAATTAAGTTGCGCATTTCATAAATGAGACTGTTTGGTTGATTTTGAGCGCAACGTAAGTAATTCATCCAAAGTATTAGTGGGGTATTAGGACGGGCTTTTCACGTGACTTCAAAACCCGCTCAAAGTGAGCGGGTTACAAAATCTCTCGCCAAAATACTGCGAACCAGCACGAGGTTTTGACGCTATGTCTGAGGGAAGCAACGAAATCTCTTGGCTACCTCGGTCGTTCTTCCGTAGGCGCCTCCGGCTCTTCTCCGCCGGAGGAAGATTGTCCTTCTCATCGGAAGATCGTTTAAGTAAGCTATTGCATTGATAGCATTGGGTTCGTTGATGCTCTGCCAGTAAAAGACGTCAAGGGCGCCGTCATCAACGGCGACGCTCCTGAGATTTCGGTCGATCTTGGAGCGGTGGATTTGGGGCATGGGGTTGGTGAGGTAGATTTGAGGTTCCAACTTGCAGCGCTTGGTTAAGAAACGATGGATGGAGAAGAAGAGAAAGGCAGATAGGGAGAAGCTGACGGCGGCAGTGATGAGCACGACGGCGGCGATTTTGCCGGTGTCGGAATTCTTGGACATATGTGTTTTCTCTTTTTTTTTTAGTTGTAGCAGCTCACAAGTTCGCATGTAGCGATGAGGGGAGCAACCTCAGCCCAAACATATTGGAAAGCTTTTCTTCCGCAAACTTCCATTCCTGCAAGCATCCAGGAGCGACTGCGCTTTCGTCCGCGTTCTCTCCCTCTCTCTCTACAATGATTTTTTTTAGTAAAAATTATATCTGAAAAGATTTGAAACCCATAAATTTGTTTTACTAAACTCAAATGCAAATTAAATAAATTTTTAATTTATGGGAGTTGGAGGAGTTAAAGAAGTTATGGGAGAAAAAAAACTCTCTCCAAAAAAAAAACAAAAAAAAGAGAAAAGAAAAAGAAAAAGAAAAAAAAAATTATTATAAGTCTAACCGCCAGTTGGCCGACGGCCCAGTCGCGAGGGACATAATTTTGTTTTTAATTTTTGGATTTTTTGTTGTTTTCTTGTCTTTGTGTAACTATATAATCTTTGGGCGCACATTCGTTTGATAGAGATACGTTGCTAAAAAATAATTCTTTTTGAAAGCATATAATATATTCATATTAATAGTTTTGGCTATCAATTAAGGTTTTTTTTTTGGACATTTTTTGTATTTATTTATAAATCAATTTTTTAGTATAAAGATTTTTTGAAAAAAAAAGTTTTAAAAAGCAGCTTTAGAAAGTAATATTTTATCCCAAACAATGCCTAAGAGCCCTTCAATTTGAGTCTTATGAATGTAACAAAAAAATATTGAAAATTAAAAATGGCAGTGTGAGAAGTTTTGATGAAAATACTAACAGATGGCTACATGAGTATCCAGAATTTCTTTAAAATTATTTAAAAAAAATCACTTTTACTTTACTCTAGATCTATCTAACTAAACAAGGGAAACAGTTCTCCAGAGAACCAAAAAATCTCAATGTATTCATAATACAATACATTTATTTTACATTGCATTTACTTTACACTACATTTCTTTTTCAGGCAACCAAACAACCCCTAAATCTGATTTTCACTACTTCACCTTGATTTTTCAAATGGCACTTGCAAATTCATTTCATTTTTATAAATTAAATTTAAGTTTCATGATGTTCTTTTATTGCATGATATTTTAATTGCACTTATTTTTGTTAAGCGGGCAAGTTTAACTTCAACATATTGCGTTTTTCTTTTCTTGCAATATCATTATTATTTTTATATGATATATCCAAATAAACCTAAGCACATCACACTTAGATTCTTTTCATATTCCAATAATGTTGGCTGGTATTTATAAAAAAGTTAACTTACAAAAATTGTATCATATGCCCATTATCTTCTAAAATTTTATTTGGAAGGACAAGTGATGAAGTACTTCTTAGAATTTGGAGTTTGATTGTGCATCATTTTTGTTCGACAAGTTTTACGCTGGCTGTCGACTACCTAACGCAACCCTCCACTTTTCTCATCCAGGACTTGGGACCTGGCAACGGCAGTGTTATTTACGCAAATAATGCAAACTCACTAAACTTTGCAAATTAAGAAATTTTAATTTACGCAATTATTTGTTATTTAGATGAAAACTGGAAAACACAGAGATATCTAATATGGTAATTTAATAGCCTTCTACGATAAATAATGCTTAGAAATTTTGAATCATAACAACCATACTTATTCAATTTCGCACTTGTAGAAAAGTTTGATGATATATAATTTGAATAAAGTCAATCCCTCATGCCAGCTAGTAACAAATAAAAATAAATGGCAAAGGAATCAAACCTCATGATTGTAGAAGGAGAGAATTTCTGTAAAAAAAGTAAATATTGGAAATGACTAAAAAATACAATTTAAGCTAAAAAATTTAAGAAATGCTCCATTTTTTGTGCATGTCTCATAATCACTGCTTATAATTATACATATTCTTGAATTTATGATAAAAGCACCTAAAAAATAAGATTCAACTATATAAGTTGATGACATGAACATAAATCTTGATAAAGCAAAAAATAGAATTCTTGCTTAGGATAAGCCTCCATAAGCCAACTCCCAACATAATTTACAACTTTCGCCAACATAAGGTATTATTAAGGTTTGTCTCCAACATCAATCGCTAAAATCACAAAAACCACTACCTTATCTAGCCAGAAGGCTATGAATCCTGTCCCGATGGAGCTCTGCATTGATTTGCCTGAGTTGTAAAAATTTTGCTCTAATAAATTATTCAATGAATATTGTTCGAGTAGATTTAGGCATAACTATTGCCTTTCTTGTATAGAAATCCATGAATCATCACCTGTAGACTTATATTTCTATTTTATAAGATATCTTTGGTATCCACTATTAGTAGTGGACATTAATTCATCTCCAATAACAACCTTAGCAATAAGATTAGTATGAAAGTTTGATAACAACCTTAGAAATAAGATTAATATGAAAGTTTGAGAGTTGTGCAAATGATATGTTGAATGTGAATTTCAAAAAAGGAGATTGAAAATGAGAAGAATCAATGACATTAAATAATGTCTTATAAAAGTCAACTTAAATACATTAAAGGGTTTTTCTATATTATTTGTTGTGTATTGCATTTCATCTCATTGCATTTATTTATTTTTGTACTTGATTTAAACTAAAAGAAATACAAAAAGTAGAATATTTAGGCATTCGAAATACCAAAAACTTTTATTTTCATTGCATTTGGAAATTGCCTAAATCGGGAGATTTTCAAATACCGTATTTTGCCCTCTTGTAATTCACACAAATCGTCACTGCTCTCCCTTATCTACATATCGCTTTGTGCTATTGTGGCTAGCCGTTTCCCACTCTCATTGCTCGTGCTTGCTTTTGTCTACATTTTAATGAATTTGAAATATATCACAAATACCAAGAAAAATAATGTGTTTGATTTGCATCAAACTAAATTATTCTTGTATTTCTAAAATGCATGTATTTCAAGTACACTACATTTCTAAAATGCATTTATTTTTAAAACATCTATCCAAACAACTTTTAAATAGCAGACTAATATCAGAATTGGATTTTTGGACTTATGTGTATTCATCCCAACACATTTTACGACTTCATATGCTCCCAATTTTCTAATAGTTACTTTTTTAAGGGTTTCTATAGAAAACCTTTCAAGATTTAGATGAATCATTCTTTTCACTTGTATGAATTCCATATATCTTATGTTCATGTATTCAAGAGGCTTATTATAATGTTAAAATACTATTGTACTTTCTAATATATGCACTATAAATAATGCTAAAAGGTGAATATGATGAAGAAAACTTAAAATTCAATATTTATTAATCTCCAGTACGTTTTCTTTTGATATTAAACAAACCACTCAAATATGAAGTGTTGATCAAATGAACATACTACTTCTTTAAAAAAAAAAAAACCCAAATAGTTCTAAGATTAGTAGTGAGAAATTATGCATTTTTAGTGTAAACTAGAAAGTTAAATATTTTAATTTTATATTTTGTTGAAGGCATTAAGGCAATTATATTTAACAAGACGTTTGATATTTGTTGAAACTTTATTTTTTCTATGCGGTTCTTTTATGTATTTGTATTGAATTTAGCCTTTGTTCAAGAAGGTAGAGGTAGAACTAAAAAGACTTGGTTAAAAATGATTAGAAATGACTTTTTATTAATATATTTGAATGAGATGGCTCTTAATATGACACGAAAAAATATTCATGTAGGTGACTCCATATAGTTGGATAAAGAAAGGCTGATGTTGTTGTTGTTGTTGGTAAAAAAAGTTTGATTTGTAGAGATAACTTTATCGGATATTTTATCATAATTTATATTTTTAAATATTCAATTGATTTATCAGTTCCAACAAGAACATGTTTTCAATTCCAGTCAATGACAAATCCATACTCTAATTGAGTTTTAATTTCAGCATTAATCTCTTGCTCAAGTTCTATTTTTGAATCAAATATGATATCGGATTTGATTTTAAATTCTGATTTTCACTCTTGTGCATTAGATTTTGGTTTAGATTTTCACTCTTGTTCAAATTTTTATGAAGATTTATGAACATGCTTAAGTATAGATGAAGGTGCAGATTCATATTAAACAAAAATTGATGCCGAATCATATTATGAATATTAAATATTTTTGCATGTAATAAATCATTTAAATAATACGCATTAATTATAATTGAATTGATATCATCAAATTTAGTCATATACGATAGTGTGTTAGTGTGAGTTTGTCAGGCTTTAGAGGAGATGTTAATGATTTATATTAGAGATTTTAAGTGTAAAGTGTAGTAGTCCTAACATGAGGATTATGATATTTCTCAACTTCTAGTGCTTTGTATAAAGCCTCATATAATATATTTGCAAAATTGCAACTAATTTCATGTTTAATTGATTTCCTGTGATCTTTAATAAAATTTATAATGATCACTAAGTAATTTATAGATAGAGAATGTATGTTGATTATTTCTTTAAAATTAATAAAATTTAGTTCCTTTGTTGAAAATTCTTAAATTGATTATGTAATTGATTCCTATAAACATTAAATGCAAACATATAAATTTTTCATAGCAACCCAAGTACATATGTTTTATTTGAAATATTCTCCTCGAAAGAATTATGCATACCCTATTAGGATTGTTTTAACAAATTCAACTATTTGAAAATAGACATATTGTAACTAACAAATAAATTTTTTTATTTGTTTATTCAATATTAACTTTTCTTAAAATTATATCTACCATCGAACGTAGGAATATAATCCTTAACATCATAATTAACTTGTTTGAATTGTCGAGAATCATAGTTAAATTGATCTCATCTAAATTGCATCATTTTGTTTCGTTTTAACTAAATTATTTTGTCCTTCTTTTGGTTGATGATAAGACAACATTAAAATTTAATATCAAATTTTATGTAAGATGTCTTAAAGTTTAAGGTTTGTTAATACAAATCTACAATGAGATGCACAAAATCATGGAAACATACTCAAACTATTGACCCAAACTGTTAATTTAGAAAATTATTCATTACTTGAGATGATTATTGAAAACATAGAGAAATTCCATGCAAATGACAATTTATAGCCTTATACTAGAAATAATATAAATTTTAATCAGCAAAGTTCAGAAGAAATATATTTGGCTAAGAAACATCAAGAGACATAAAAAAATCGTAAAGCATATATTGTAATTTCAATGAGGGAATTCTATGTTTTTTGTGAGGCTGATTTGTTTATGTTGTGGGCAAAGAGAAGAGGGAGTGCAATATTTTTCCTTATCTTTCTTCTCCACGTGTTACCATTGCAATATTTTAAGCATCCTATAATATCATCACTTGTAATGTTGCCCTAGCTCCATGGCGTTGCACTCCTCTCTTGGTGCTCCATTGCACTTGACCGCGTTAGTGCTTAATCGTGCAAACTTGTTGTTCGCACCTGCTTTGCTTATACTTGCTTCCATGTTCACTGTTTTTGTCTCTTGTTGTACTCTCAAGTTGACTACGCGCGCATGTTGTGCATCGTTGTTGCACTTGATGTTCGCTTCTCATTGTACTCCCCTCAGGGTTATTCGCATGCTTCACTCTTGATTTGACTTATAGGCTGCTATTCACAACGTTGGGTAATCGCACCTTAATTGTGGGCTTTGCCCCCTTGTGGAGGTGCATATGCCGTCACTGACTTCGACGACTGTTGTGGGCCCTCATTGTTTCATTCTAGCTCACCTATTATAAATTTATATCATATTTCTCTAAATAGTTTTTGTCTCTAGTCAGGGATCTTCTCTTAGCAACTATTCTATACATGCCATTGAGTGCTTCAATGGTTCGTTTGAATGGTAATATTTCTCCTATTGTTGCTACCGCTCCTAGGATTTCTCCCTCTATAGTTTCTCCATTGATTTGCATTTCATGCTCATTTGTTGAGATTGTTAGGGGGGATATGGTTCATGGATCTCTGTTTGATTCTTCTTGTTTTTCCACTCATTTTTTATAAGGGCATGTTTCTACTCATCACACAATGCTCACTCATTTTCAATTAGGGCTTGTATGTACTCATCATGTGATTGTTATGTTCCTTTAAAATTAAACATGCTTTCAAGATCTTTGAGTTGGTTTCTCCTTTCTCTCTCCTCATAATTGTCAAATTTTCCAAGGGTCATCCACATATGAAGATTATTTGTAGGTTCGTTGTCGATCTACATTTTGTTGGGGGTTATAGCATGAAACATATTGATTATCATTGTATTCTAATCAAAGCTCTACCAAGAATCTAATTATTCATGACTTTTCTCTCGAAGAAAATATCATGTGGATGGTTCTTAATGTGCATGCTTAAGTGGACTTCTTAGCTTAACTAATCTATGGACCCTCTAGTCACTCTAGTTTGGATTATTTTTCTATATCTTCGAGGAAAAGGCGAAGAATCATTAAACCGACATCGCTGTCTTGGTGCTGGCCAAAAATCCCATAACAGGAGAAAAATAAGATTCGGTCATCCATTCTAAATTGGGTATACATGTATTATTTATAGGACCAGATGTCCTGGCTAATTACTTAATAGCTCATTCATCCCTATGAACGAAAATAATATAAATAAAGTAATAGAAAGAGATTATTACAAACTATTTACACATAGCCAAATATGTTGATATCGATTAGGATATCAAAGATGACCATAAACAGCTTAACGGCCTTCCGATGAAGAAATTATTATGTGCGGAGGCCGGACGCAGAATGCTGTCCGGATACCAACCAGAATGTGCCACGGCATCGGACCAAGCCGCGGTACCGAGCCAATTGGGGTGATGTGGCGCATTCTGGTTGGTCTCCGGACGGCGTTCGACGTCCGCACAAAATAATTAATCCTTCCAATTGAGCTTCGATAAAAATGCAGTTGCATAATGTTATAATGGCACTCAACCCAATTATTTTGTCCTGTTAAAGCCTTGAAGAAAGCATTCTGTAGTATTGATCAGATTACTTGCTTTGATCTTCTATGCAGCAAATTTGAGTATTTGGCATCTGAATGCTTTTGGTTTTGTTCATTTTTGTTACATTATTTCTATTGCATATATGTTAGAAGTGCATATTTTTTCCATATGCAGTTTGAATCTTTGAAATATTTTGAAGCTTGATTTGGCTGCTTCGCTTGACAGGTACTATCACAACATTACTGCAAATACTTTGATTATTCTTGAAGCCATGGCAAAACATCGTGTCAAAACTCTAATATATTCAAGCACATGTGCAACGTATGGAGAACCTGAGAAAATGCCCATAACTGAAAAAACTCCTCAGGTTTGTGGATAATACAATCCTATCAAGTTAGATAAGTTAATAGAAAAGAGCAGTGGATTGGATGGATGGCTTGCCTCCTTTAATTTCACTGTCTAGATGAACACTTCTTAGATCTTATCTATGATTTTACTTTGACAAAGTTTGAATTTAAAATGACAAATTAAAGTCAAATAGTTCAGCTGGTGAAGCAATGTTTTCATGATGCAGAATCCGATTAACCCATATGGGAAGGCCAAGAAAATGGCAGAGGACATGATCCTGGACTTCTCAAAGAATGCTAACATGGCTGTTATGATTCTGAGGTTTGCTTCTCCTGCCATGAGATAGAACTCCAAATTGGATAAAAGATGTCAACATCTAATTTCTTATATGATCAGATACTTCAATGTCATTGGATCAGACCCTGAAGGAAGGCTAGGCGAAGCTCCAAGGCCTGAACTTCGGGAGCATGGACGCATCTCCGGTGCGTGTTTTGACGCTGCACGAGGAATCATATCAGGGCTGAAGGTAAAGAAAGGATTTGCTTCGCATAATTTATGCTGTAACTCTGAGATACCGAGCTCCGAGCTTTGCTGAAACTCACAGGTTAAAGGAACAGACTATCCAACTCAAGATGGAACTTGTGTAAGAGACTATATTGATGTGACTGACCTTGTCGATGCTCATGTGAAAGCTCTCGACAATGCAAGGCCTAAAAACGTTGGGATCTACAATGTTGGCACTGGAAAAGGTCAGACAACTTAACTTCTCTGTATTTTGATGATTCCCCAACTCTTCCCATCAGATTTCAATCCTCATCTTTAGCTTGCTTATCAGGTAGATCAGTCAAGGAATTTGTGGAAGCTTGTAAGAAAGCAACTGGAGTTGATATCAAAGTAGACTACCTTGAAAGAAGACCTGGAGATTATGCTGAAGTGTACAGTGACCCTTCAAAGATTTATCAGGAGTTGAACTGGACTGCTAAGTATACTAACCTTGAAGAGAGCCTCAAGGTTGCTTGGAAGTGGCAGAAATCACATAGGAATGGATATGGCACATCCTCTTCATAATATACCATACAAAAGAGCTATTGGATTGGGGCACATTATTAGGTCCGATCACCTGACAGAGAGAATCATCCGGATTTCTTTGTCTATAGTAAAAGCGTAGTTACCGTAGTAGCTGCACTTTGACTGTGTTTTTACTGTGGACAGAGAGAAATTTGGATGTATCTCTCTGTCAGGCGACTGGACCTAATAATTTCCCATTGGATTGGAAGGCGTTTGGAAGTTCAGTGGGTGGTACAAGGAAACTGGTTGGGTGGATTTAGTTTAATACAAGGAGATTATTGTTCTTTTATCGTGAGAGTTCAGATAGCAGGGAATTTTTTTTTTTACATGGAAGAATAGAAGTTGAATAATTGATCCAGCTGATTCACTATACCTGCTTTGATAAAATGTTAGTTGTATTATGTTTATTGTTAACTTACAGAGAATGAAAGAAGGGTTTTTTGTTTTGTACATATCATTGGCTTTTCTATTGTTTTTAGTAAAATTTCTAAGTTTTTTCGATTGCCATTGCACACTTTGATTATCCGATAATCAAGCTTTTCATTTTTTATGGTCTTTTTGCTGCAGGCGAAGGGCTTAGCCGTTGAGTCCACGGAGTTGATTATTTAAAAATATTTTATAAAGATTATATATGATGTAATACAACATCAGCGTAGTGTACCTGCCGAAGACAAAAACTTTGAACTGCATTTGTGTTCCTAGATATGTAAAAAAAAATGTTCGATTGATTCGGCACGAATCTTGAGGTATAAATAAGTTGAAAACTTTTAAATTAAATTTGGGAACATCTGAACTTCGACTTTAATAAATTTATAGTCAAAATGAACATCTAAAAGAGATGAACCCAATGACAAAATCGGCCTGATCTGAGCCTGAATGGGTTTGAATCAAGAGCCAAAGTGGGTTTGAATCAAGAGCCTGTCAGATCATTACTTGTCTGCCGAATTTTTGCCCGGGCACTGTCGAACCACCCCCTCGTAGTTGTCGGGTCTTTACCCAACTCTCAAATTATTGTAATTCTACTAACTCTAAGTTAAGTGAAGGGTTAACTTTTGTAATTTATTCAAATTTATTGAAATCTTTTCACTTGGGTGCCCACCGTGATTTTTCCCTCTTCGGATTTTCCATGTAAAAAAATGGTAGTTTTCTGCTCTCTCTCTCTCTCTCTCATAAATCACATGTTTGTGTGCTAGATATATGTGCATCGTTAAGACGAAAAATTTACTCTACTACCGCGAACATTCTAACCCGCAACTCCTATAAGTTGATTTTATAAAATTTGGAGTGTTTTCTTTATTCTAAAATGCTGAAGCTTTTTTTTTTAATATATAAAAAAAAACTATTCCATATTTTTGTTAGATGGCTCAATATTATTATATATAATAATTTATCCCATTTTTTTAAGAAAAATATCTTGTTTCATGACTAAACTAAGTAGTTCAGTGCAAACATTTAATGAACTAAAATTATTTTATTAAAAAGTCATTTTAGAAAGTATTAAGAAATTCGTCTCAAAAGAAGTCTAAGATTTTATTTGGGATAATTTTTTTTACTATTATTTAAAGAACAAAGTATAATATTTTTAGTTCAAAAAATTTTTGTATTAAAAGATTATTTTAAAAAGCAATTAAAAATTAAAATGATCTCAATTGGAGCATAGGCATGCAACAACTATTCAATATTAAAAAATATCTGATTTAATATTATTATCTTGTTAGATGATGCCATGAGTTGGAGGATGATAAATGTTGGTGGGTGAGCATTAGATGTCACAGGTGATATCGGACTTTCGACTAGGGTGATGAAGACATTGCTTGTTGGCCTATATTGGCTCCCTTGGGAAAGTGAGAAATATGGATGATCAATAATCAACAATTAGTTGGGGTTTGTGAAGTAGGGACGATCAAATAATATTGTTGCGGGCTAGAATATACACGGCGATAGAGTTAGAAATTTTTGACTCATTGTTGTACGGAAATCCATCACATCAATAGAAGAAAAACAAAACACCTGCATTTTTACGTGGAAATCCTTGGAAAAAGAAAAAAATCACGGGGCCACACCTAATTGAAATAATTTCATTAGTGTTTGATTAGATTACAAGTGACTAAAGTTTAAGATGATCATATTACAATAATCAACCGTCGGATTGAAATATGAAGTTTGGATGGAAGTCTAGAGTCAGTTTGTGACTGGGCATAAATCTGGCATCAGTTGGTGGTCGGGCGGAAGTCCGGTGGTTGTCGAGGAGTGGTCTGGTGGCAAGATAACTCTTTTCTTTCTCTTCTTGTTGCAGTCCCCTCCCATGAGAAATGAGGGTCTGTTTATACTTTTCTGAGAGTGACGTGACCAATAATAAGGGGAATATCAAAGGTAAATTAGGAGTGGTTTGAATGGACAACTGATGTTGATCCCCTTAATTGTAAACAGTTTACTGGGCATTTGAATGTCTTTATGATATCAGAATTTGGCGATCTTAGGTTTGTTGGATTCGTCTCATCCAGCCACTCGATTCAGATATAAGCATGTCACGTTTGAAAACTGTTTGGTAATCCAAATTATGGTTTGAACCTTCCAAATGTGCTTTGAGTCTTTTATTTGGACTCATTTGGGCTCGGATTGAGCTGAATTTGGTGTCAAAGAGTTCATATTTCTGAGACGTCCAGTTTGACTATAGGTTTATTGAAATCAAAGTTCAAATGGTCCCATATTTAATTTTTGAAGTTTTAACTTGATTTTGCTACGTGATTCATGCCTGATCAAGATGATTGTTTAATGATATATCAAACACCATAAAGGCTATTTAGACCTTTACAAGTAGTTTAGAGTTCAAAAATTCATTATGTTATTATAATTTAAATAATTGAGAATATGAAAACAAAAAAAGAACGAACAAGAGCTATTAATAGATTTTTAAGGGGCATAACAATCCTTCAAATAAATCTCACCCCTATATCATGTATATTAACTTGCTTGGACAACAATTAAGATGGGGAGAGATTATTCTGTGCGATGTCCGAATGCGTCCAGAGCTAAATTCGGGCGTACCACGTCATTCAATGCATTGTGCATTGGTTGACTTGACTTATCTGGATTGACCTCTGGACGTGTTCGGACACGGCACATAATAATTTTTCTATGATGGGTGGCTGATGACAATGGTTTGATGTTGATGCTATGATTTAGATTTTTTTTTTTAGTGATTAGATACCCAATGTGATTGTTCGTGGCGAAAATACGATAGCACTAATTTGATAACCATTTATGCCGATGATAAGATAATGTCGATTCAGATATAACCCCTTAAAATTTTCAATTGTTATTCTTAGCTCATGGACATGGATTCACATGTTATTAGTATTGTTGTAATCTCGTTGAGAATCATTCTAATTGGAAGCATGCCATTATCAAAATCTATTTAGCCATTTGAATGATTTATGACCATGTTTAGGATTAAATAATTGAGTAATTTGAAGTTGAACATTTGCTTGAAAATTCATGCAAAATTTGATGAAATTTATGGATTTTTTTTTTTTTGCAACAAATTCTAAATTCATTGAACTTATCTTTCTTTTCATATTTATTTGACCATTAAAATTGTGATAATTTATATACACCCTTGATAACAATGAACTTTCTACTACTACTTAATGTTGACCTATAAGCCATGATCAATCCCAACTGCCCATCCAACGATTTAAACAATCATCTCCACAACTCCATGATCTCACTCCTCTCTACGGTAACGAATTTTTATTACATCCGGTGAACGTACGCTCCTCTACGTTCGATTTTAGACCAAAACAGCGTAATACCAAGTTTTTTTTTTGTCTAGTACTACTCGGTACTCGGTATTGAGTTTTTTTTGCCTAGATCCGACAGGAGCTTACGTTCACTGGATAAAATAAAAGTTCCGACGTAACTCCCTCACAAGCATAGAAGAAACGAGAGATACCTCATTTGATTCATTCAAACACACGAACAAAAGCCGCTGCCCGCTCCTCCCTCGATGTCCTGCATGTGATCCTTTGTTGTGCCATATTCCTTTTGATTATCGCATGCAATTGCAATGTCGAACCCACCAAAGCCCGCCGACTCCGCCTCTGACTCCGACTGTCGCACGCGACACCAATCCCGTGCCCTAGCCCCAACACCTTCTCTGTCTCGTACACAGAGGACTAAGCCGAAGCCGCCACCATTCTAGCGACCGCCTTCTCCAAGCCTGAAGCAAACCCGACCTAGCTCGCCACTGGCCCGACTCCTGCTTCCGACCTCCTGCCCCAGCTTGACTCTCGCTTTCGACCTCCTACTGGATCTATCCCGAAGACCAGAGATTCGGTCCCCAAAGTCCTCGAACATCGATCTAATCCGGCCAAATGGCCAAATGGATAGAAGGCTGGAAGACCAATTTCGGGGTTGATTCCCTCCCTCGAAGTCCTTGCTATTGATTTGATTCGGTTGAGTCGATCGAAAAGTGCAAGTTTCTTCCCTAACCTCCCCTCGCCGGTGGAGTTTTTATTTGGTCCGGTGCAAGGACCTAGAGGAAGGTTCGGTTTTGCCTAAAAAAGTGCAAATACCGAGTTTTTTGAAAAAATACCGAGTTTTTTGAAAAACTCGGTATTTGCACTTTTTACCTATTTTTGGCTAAAACCGAACCTTCCTCTACATCCAGTGAAAGGACCTAATAATTGCTCCTCGCGGTGAGGGGATGATAGAAAGATGCCAAAATTGAAACTTACAAAGGACCCTTAGACAATGACTTCTAAATAAAATTTGTCATGATAAAAAGTAATAATACCACCAAACAATTTCATAATTTAATACGCAAGAAAATGCTTCCGTTCTACATTAGTGCTAGTAGAAAATATATAGCTAATGATTTGAAAATAGCACTTGATATCTTTACAATATACTTTTGTGAAACATATTGTGCTCAAATTAGAGAGACATGCTTTTGGAAATAATCAAATAGCCTTGATCAAGACATTACATCATAAGGGTGACTGGTTGTGTAACAATACTTATGCTTGAGATATAGTAATGTAAAATTGTTAGTCCATGCATTAATACTCCCTTACGCTAATTAATGGTGATAAAAAAATCCATTTCTATAATAAAACATGTCAACTTATCAAGAGTGCCACAAAATGTTTTACAAAGGATATGATTTTTGAGAAGGGTCAATTTTGGAGGGATATAGAGATGATTGATTTTATAAGGTAATATACATAGGATAAACATCTTAAAATGTCGACCAAAGCCTAAAGTACTTTGGGTGGACCAAATATCATTCTGCAACAATGATTTCACCCAAAAATACAAGAAGCATTTTTGGAAATAGTATATGTATACTTTCTTATATCCCTAATCATTGGTCACATCTTTTCATCATACCTAGAAAAATTACATTCAGATCTTAATAATGATAACATGCAGAATGCTTGAAATTATG